TCCACCGACAGCAGTCCTACTAACTGTTGAGCCTCCAGGCGGGGCCTTTCCCAGCGCTGGCAGTGGAAAAATGTATGTTCCACGTCATCGAGAATGCCTGGGCAGTATATGCAGTCGGGTGACACAGCTTTGCCCATCCTGAACAGGTACGACCGGAAAAAGCCGTGTCCCGTCAGAAATTGGGTGAGGTAGAAGTCCACCTCTCCGTGCCGCCGATCCACCCAAGGTTGGACTTGCTGTATCAGTCGCCTGGTCCAGAGTCCCCGTGTCTCCTGTTCCCAGCCCTCCTGCCACAGCTGGTAGGTGCAGGTGCGTTCCTCTGTTCGTGCCTCGTCCTCCCCACGGCGACGGTAAATTGCCTTTCTCTCCGCCGCCAAAAGTTTGACGGGGATGACTCCAGCAATCACCAGGACGGCGGTCTCGGACACTGTTCGGTAGGCAGATGCTACCCTCAGTGCTGCCTGACGCTCCGAGGCCCTCCGACATTGGCCATCAACCGGCTAAGAGAAGAAACCACCCTAGCGGCCTTGTCCGCTGTACGGAAGATCTGATCCCGCCAGCTAAGCTTGCTGTCTACCATGACCCCAAGATACTTGGCAGAACGAACAGTTTGAACCTCGACGGCTCCCACCCTCAACGGCACGATGGTGTCAATCCGTTTTTTTGTCAAAATCACGATCTCGGTTTTGCTCAGAGCAAGCGAGAGACCGTGGTCTGCCATCCATGCGTTTATGGTACGCATAACTCGGTTTAGCTTTAGCTGAGCCAGCTCAACACTACGTGCAGCTATCAAAGCTGCAACGTCGTCTGCGTACCCAACCAAAACCGTTTCCTCAGGCATTTCAGACCTCAGAAGGCTGTCATAAGCGACGTTCCAGAGGTCTGGACCGAGTATGGAACCTTGGGCAGCACCAGAAGTGACACTCATCGTCCGCGGGCCCTCCGCAGTGTCATACGTTAGAAGGCGAAACCGGAGACAGTCCTCTATGATGCGCATGAGGTATGCCGGCACGTGGAAGGTGTTCTCCAGAGCGTCCAGCATATCGCACCACCTCGCCGAATTAAATGCATTTCGCACATCGAGCGTTACGAGCAGCACAACTCTGCGAGAGTAGTGGTTAAAATCCTCAGCTCTCATCACGGCTTGCTTCACCTCCTCAATCGCATCAATCGTTGATCGCCCCATCCTGAATCCATACTGACGAGGGGAGAGGTCCCCTGCAGCGACAACGGCTGAATTTAGCCGGGAACGGATCAATTTCTCGAGGACTTTGCCAGCCGTATCCAACATACACAGAGGTCTGTAAGAGGATGGCAGATCTGGGTCTCCCTTGCCCTTCCCAACAAGCACAAGCCTAGCTGTCTTCCAGCACAAGGGGAAAACCCCTTCAACCAGGCAGGCGTTGTACATGCTCAAAAGGCTCAAGGGGTTGGTAGTCAAAACCTTCTTGAGGACTTCACCGGGTACCCCATCGGGACCAGGAGCCTTGTTGTTCTTCAGGGATATGACGGCCGCCATCAGCTCTTCAGGGCTGAAAAGTGGGACGTCTTCCACCCTTCCAAAATCCCGCAGTGGGCGCAACGTGTGAGCCGGGAAAAGGAACTCGACTATCCTCTCCATAGTGACCCTGTCCATGACGGAAGGTGGAGAGCGGGTTCTAAGTTTCTTGGTTACAAGTTTGTAACCCAGGCCCCACGGGTTGGAATCAACATCGTCCCTTAATTTATCCCAGCAACTGTGTTTACTCCGATTGATGGCTTATAAAAATATAATATTTATTCCCTATCTAAATAGAATTAAGTTAATTAGTTTAACGAGTAGGCCTACTTAGGTTTGCTGCAGAAGGGAGGGTAAGAGATTGTTTTTTTGTAAAATGTTAATAGTTAGTAAGAAATCAAAACATTTTCCAAATTTGAACAATATACGTTTATAAACAAGCAAACTACAACAGATCTATATATATAAAGCTCAAATACCACTGACTCACTCACTCATCACAAAATCTCAGAAACCATAAGACCTAGGAATCTGAAACTTGGCAGGCATCTTCCTTTTGGGTAGTAGACGCTCACTAAGAAAGGATTTTACCCTCCGACCTCTGGGCTCCGCCCCAGTGGCTCTGGAGTTTCCCATGTTAACCTTATGAGTACTCATATTTAAATGGAATTAATGAATCTTAACTGCTGTTTCAATTAAACAAGTTGGTTCTGTTCTATGATGTTCAATAGCACTAAAGTTACAAGGATTACTAACAGGTTGCAACACTATTATTTCTTTTACATTTATGACAACAGCTAATTTGCAACCAAAAGGTGAGTGAGCGTAGCGAACGAACTTCAACCTGGAGGCGAGTTAGTGTAGCGAACGAGCTCTAACCTAAAAGTGAGTGAGCGTAGCGAACGAACTTCAACCAGGACGTGATTGAGCCATGCGAACGAGCTCACTTATGAAGTTAAACGGGGCAAAGCCCGCGGGTTCAACCAGGTTGTGATTGAGCCATGCGAACGAGCTCACTTATGAAGTTAAACGGGGCAAAGCCCGCGGGTACAGCTAGTTCTCCATAAGAATAACATAGGAATTTTAGATCTAAAATTTATTAGAATTTTATCCGTAACCATTAGGTGCATAATAACGCTTCAATATACTATTTAAAAAAATTGTTTTTTAAAGCTCTACAAAATGGTTTGGAAAAAAATTGCAAAGTTTTTGGTTTTTTGGGTCAAAAATGGGAAAAACCAATTTTTACCCCATAAACCCCTATTCCCTTAGTCGGATCATGCTGGTTTGCAAACTCTTTTGAATAAATGTAAGTTTACACGTCCTATACGGAATTTCATCACAATTAAATTAATATATATATATATATATATATATATTTATGTACCATACCATGTACATACCATATATACCATACCATACTATGTATATATATATATATGTATATATTTATCTTTATATTAATTACGTAAGCCGATTCTTTGCGTCAAAATTTTGGGCGGCTGGGAAGTCGTAGAACGACGGGAGAGGGCTCAAATTAAAGATCTTGATCCTGCGACGGCGGGAAAAATAGGGAAATTCCCAAAATCTTAACACAAAATTAGATATAACGTAAATTCTCCATGAGAATAGCATTAGAAGGCATCTACTGCTGATTTTTGTTTACTTCAATACAGCTGATCGTGATTTATCACTAAGCAAGTAAGCTTACATTTGGATTACTCATTTGCCAGTCAATTCTGCAATGTAATGTACACTATATAAAACCAACTATATAAAGGGATAACGTTACCCTTAATAATCAAGACTTTTTAGTTATGTCAAAGTTGAAATAAATTGTTTTCAAGATTGAAAGAAGATCTTCTTTGTTTTGATTTCAAAACATATGCTAAAGATTTATTCCACACTTTTTTGTAAATTTACTAACATTTATATTTGAGATTTATTGTAGTATTTAATCAATATTTTGTATGAAGTGGAATAACCTCTACGGTTACTCTTAGAAAACAATTTGGGAATAAAAAGACGAAGTAGGTTCGTACAGGTATTTGTTCATTAAGTACTTAAGTACTTTGTTAATTGCTCCAAGCAAAAAAGGTTCAAATAATATAGCATAGCATGCACGGTAGAAAAGAAAGCACCTATATATAACAGTGGAACATAGAGGTAATTTCCGTTTCTTAAAACTAACAAAAAGTATTTATGTCGTGATTAGTTTCGATAACTGGGTAATGGAACCCTAACCAGTCGCAAAATTGTTAGTAATTAAACATTGATTAGGCCCTTTTTTGTAGAATATGTAAATCAATCGCACCTTAAGGAGGATTACCACCACATATACTTACACTAGGCTAATAATAGTGGTTTTTTTAATGTTCATCAGAAACAAATTTAGGGTTAAGTTCTGTCAATGGGATGCCTTTACTTAAGACTAATTTTGTTAAACCTTTACAAAATGAGCATATACTTAGAAATAATAACTGGGTAGGGTATGGATGCTAATTTAGCGGTTTTGACCAAGAACTAAGTTTATGTCAACACACCATTTTTTGCCTTTTCTTATTTGACGAAGACAATTTCCAATACTGTATTTCAATCGTGGAAGCCTTTTAATCAGCATTAACCAAAAAACCAAAGCTACCTTAATAAACCAATATTTATTCTTTAGCAGTTAAACCTCTGGAATCATTAAAATTCTTTATTGAAAATAACTATTTTGGAACATTGACAATTTTGCCTCTGAACTGTTTAAATGTACATTGTTTCAATATCATATGTTTTTCTTTTTATATTAAGCTGTGTTCATGTTTATGTTTGTGTGATCTAAATAAAAAGTGTGGATTCCTTTCTTTAATATATTTTGTTTCTCATTAATTATAAAGTGCATTCTTATAAGTCACCTAGAGAAAGAATGCCTTGGACAAGTACGTATCAATAATAACATCAACACAAGCAAACAAAGACAAATAACAAAGAGTTTTTTTTTTTTTAACAAATAATTTAGTATTTTGAAGCGTTATTGTGCTCCTAATGGTTACAGAGAAAATTCCGAAAAATTTTAAATTTAAAATTCTCATGTTATTCTTATGGAGAATAAGTCAACTGTTGAAGTTTGCTTGTTTATGAACCTATTTTGATTGAATTTGGAAAATAGATTAATTTCTTCCTACAGTACGTATTAACTTTTTACATCAAAAAACATGTTTTTACCCTCCCTGTTGCAGCAAACCTAAGTACTCATTAAACTAATTCTATTAAAATAGGGAATAAATGTGATATTATTTAGGAGGCATTTTAGTGTAAATCCAATCAGGCAGATAGAAATTCGCTTAGTCTGCACATTTTGCTGCGGCAGCGGTATTATTTATTGCTTTATTAAAAACCATGAAACTTGATCACTCCGCTCAACTTTCTTTCACTGCTATGAACCCAATCCTAGTTTATGATTTTATTAAGTACCTAACTGATCACATTAAAAAACACATTAATGTTGCTTCTTTAGGATCTGGAATGGCAATCCCTTACTGGGATTTTTATGGAACTACGATGGTAACTTCAAACTACATTCGTCTAACCCCTGATGCACAGAGTATGCAGGGTGCACTATGGAATTCAGTGGTTAGTATACCTTTACATAGACTTCCTCATTTTAATTTCTCCTCCTATACATACATAGTATATATATATATATATGTATATTATATATATATATGGAGAAGAGGAAGTAATGTTTTGTCAAAATTTTTGAGTTTTGGGTACATAGGCTATACTGTATTTGTTTTGAGCCCCCCCCCAACCCTGAACACCAAAAGTAGTTTTTAAGTGATGTCTCTGTGTGTATGGATGTGTACAGAGCTACAAACCATACCCGTGGTTCGATTTTGATGACATTTTGTATGTGGGGTACTAATCCATGGCTTCTTTATGCGTTTTTTTTTTAAATTTTGTTTTTTAAAATGGTGATTTTATTTCACAAAACCCCAAAAAAGTAATGTAAAAATTAGATTTTTATAATACAATACAATACAATATTCTTTATATTTGTTAAGAATTACAATAGTGTCAGTACAATAGTGAATTGTACGTGTTAATTTCTATAATTTTCATAAAATTCCTTTATTGAGTAGAAGGGTCTTGCGATTAGCCACTTCTTTAACTCCTGGTGTAGCTTGTTGCCAGTCAGGTCTCTCAGGTAGTCAGGTAGATGGTTCCTCAGTTTTCAGACGGTGTAGGAAGGTTTTTTCTCCCAAAGAGTGGTTTTGTGAACTGGTAGGGCAAATTTAGAGCCATGCCGGGTGTTGTAGTGGTGTGGTGCAGGTCTTGGTTTCTTGGGGGGTTTATTTCATCCATATACTTTATGATTTCAAGTACATAGAGAGACACCAATGTGAGGATTCCTAGGTTTCCGAATGCTAGTCTGCAAGTCTGGTGGTACAAGGTTGGCGAGGGCTCTTATGGCTTTCTATTGAAGAACAATGATTTGATTCATATTTTTTGTTGAAGTTCCTCCCCACACTGTCAAGCCATATCTAAGATGCGACTCTACCAGTGCGAAGTAAGCTGTTTTGGCCACAGAGTGTACTATGTAGTTTTTTATTCTGACAACAATGTCCAAGGACAACAATGTTAGTTTGTTATCTATTGTTACATCCTCTAATTGAGGGACTATGTCTTTTTTCTTACTGAAATTCAGAGTTGTAATTTTTGTGGGGTTTATTGCTAAGTCATAGTTCTTTGAGTAGAGGATGGCTTTATTTAAGATCGATTTTGAATTAAGGTAGAGGCTTTGGGCTGTGTTGTCCTTGAACAAAATGGTTGTGTTATCTGCATACATGATTGCAACAGCATTTTCGCTCTCAATTTGTTTGGGGAAGTCATTAGTCAATATTATGAATAGAATCGGGCCTAATACAAAGCCTTGTGGAACTTCTCTTGTCAGCTTGCTTTTTAAAGATTTGAAACTTGCTGTGACTTCGTTTGATGAGTTTTTCAGTTCCACGACTTGCGAACGTCCCGTTAGGTAGCTTTTGAACCATTCTAGCGCTGAGTTTTTTGTACCGAGTCTTTCAAGTTTCTTGCATATCAGGTCGAGGCCCAGGCAGTCAAAAGCCTTACTGTAGTCAAGGACATGATTTTAGAGAAACTGGAGATGAGAGAGATGGGTCTGTAGTTTTGAGCATTTTCAGTTGGTCCTTTTTTATGTTTGTGGTATATTTTACTGACTTTTATGGTGGATGGGAATTTGCCTTCTTTAAATGATTTATTTATAAGATTAACCAGAGGAGAGATGAGTTCTTTAAAGCAGTGCTTTTTCATCTTAGAAAAAAACCCATCTATTCCACTTGATATTTTGGCTTTTAGGGAGTTTATTATCGTTTTAACTACTTTATAGGATGTTGAAGTTAAGGTAAGGTGTATTGGACAGACTGGTTCCTCTCCATTCAGCACTGTTTCAGGGTCTATAACGATTGCTCTGTTTTGGTCAAGAGTATTTTCTGCTACATTTGAGAAGAATGTGTTGAAGTGTTTGGCCATTTCTTTTGTATCGTTTGTGAGTTTGCCATTTATTTTAGTGATGGTCGTATCCGGATATCGGACTACCGGATCCGCCGGATCTGAGCGAGAACCGACGCCCGATTGGATCCACAAAAAATCGGATCTTGGGCTGGATCCGGTTTTAATGGATCCGATTTTGTTTATACTATTAACACAAAACGTCTAGAGATGTGCGAGTATTCAAGATTTCGAGTTCGAGTAGAGTACGGCCTTGAAACTCGAGCTTATCTTTGAACTCGCCAGTGTGAGTCAGTTTGGTTTAGAATTGTAAAAAATCAATATTTGTTAAATGTAACTTGTGTTTACATAAAATGATGGACAATTTGTATCACTGTAGATTCTACAGTAATACAAATATTTCTACAGTGTAGAAATAAGCAAGAGGTAGTTGTCCTAATCTGTTTTTATAGTTGTCACAACAGAATAGGTCAACTCAAAGCAGTCGCCGGCGACTGACTGGCAATGGTGTACCGACTTGACACAGAATGGAATGACATGATCGGTAGTGATTTTGTTTTAAAGTACTGTTTCACAATAGAAAATTCCACTACAGAACTGTTACATAAGCAATAAATATATGTTTAAAAAAGTCAGAATAGAAACACTAGAAAGGCAAAACCATCGAAGGAAGGGAGGGGTTGTGCAATGACCTCGAAATGAGGGGGCATAGCAACAGGGGGGTGGCAACAGTGAGTTGAGTATGGAATTGGGGGGAAGGGGAGAGTGAGACATTTGAGCTATATTTAGACTAGACTTTCACTTTCACCACTTCCCAATTGGTTGGGTTGGGGGATTACAATAGCATGTTTTTTCCTTGCCTGGTTTGTTAAATACAACCCCAATGTATTTCTTATGGATAAAGGATTTTGTTTAGTTAAACGGACGAATAATTTGTATTAATAATTCCAGCTGTTCATAGTAAACACATGATACACACAAGAGCGTTCGTTTTCAGTTTCGATAACTGGTGTGGAGTGATTGATTGCATTATCTTTGAGTTGACTCTTTTAAGTCATCAGAAATTGTGACTGTTATTCGTTCTGAAATAACGCCCGTAATACTTTGCAATTGCTCGAATTCGAGCAACAGGTGCACTAGTTCATACATAAGAACAGGTGTTTTGTCATAGTGATATATCTATATAAATAATTTTTAAATAAAATTAATAGTGGTTATCTGTGTCCATATACAAGACTATCTGAATCCATGTACAAGACTATCTGTGTCCATGTACAAGACTATCTATATCCATGTACAAAACTAACTGTGTCCATGTACAAGACTATCTGTGTCCAAAGTCCATATACAAAACTACCAAAGATAGTCCTGTACATGGACACAGATAGTCTTGTATATGGACACAGTTAGTCTTTGACATTGCCTAGCCATATGAATTATTTAAAAAAAACCTGCCCTTGAAAAAAGAAAAAATGTATCTGTATTTGGATCCGATTTTTTCAAGATCCGGATCCGGTACCGACATTTTCTTGGATCTGCCCTTCACTAATTTATTTCTAATTCTGTAAGGGTTTTCTCTTCACATTTTCCTTTCCTTGTTTATTACTTGCCATAGCGCTTCTCGTTTGTTGTCAGCTTGTTCTATGAAGCTAGCTGTTAAGGACATTTTTAGGTTTCTAGTTTCATGTCGTACCGTATATCATTTTTCTATTAATCATTTTTACTTTGTCTCCATTTCTGTTTGTCAAATCAAACTTTTGCAGAGCTTTCAAAAAGTTCTCTTTAAGGTATTTTGCTTCAGGATCGTAGTACTTCATATGTTTTTTGTTTGTACTAATTTTAGTTTTCTTTAATGGGCATGTATAATCCAGTGCTGTTTGAAGAATATTATGAAATTTGTTGTAGGAGGTTTCAAGATTGGGTGAAGAGTAAACATGTTCCCAATTTTGTAGATGGAGGTGAGCCTTCAGTTTGTTTAGGTTTGTGTAGTTTAGGCTTATTTTCATTACAAATCTTTGGGAAGTGTCTTCTTGGTGTGTTTTCAGCAGGCACAGCTGCGCAGTGTGGTCAGATAGACCAGTATGCACAACTTGTCCAGTAATATCCGCATATGGTATGTTTGAGCATACAGTCTATGGAAGTGGCTGTGTCATGTGTTATTCTGGTGGCCTCTAGAGGAAATCTCCAGATGTTTTGTGTGGTTTACTCTTTTCCAGCATGGTGTTTTTGGAATCTTGGGTAAGCCTGTCGATATTTATGTCACCGATGAGTATGAGGTTTTTCTTTTATACTGCTTGTAGTTCTAGCATTTCTAATAGGAGATCAAGGGCAATTCTTGCATTTTCGCTTGATGGTCTATAGATTCCCAGAATGTAGATATCCTTTTTCTTTGTTGTCTGCATGCGAATCATTGCTGCTCAAAACTGTTTCAGGCCTAAATCAAATCTAGTATGTTGTAGTCCTTTTAACTTTAAACAAAACTGTACTAGTGTACATCCCCGATTGCTGTAAAAATTCTACTTCATGATTATTGCAAGTTACCAACTGTTTGTAAGTAGAGCATGTCTCTTAACAAAATAATAATAACAACCCAGTGGTATCTAATCTAGTATTTGGTGTCCCTGAATTACTCAAAATTTCACACACAAAAATGGCTGAACAAAATCACTGTACATATTTTGGTGAATTTCCCTACAGGGAAGTAGGTAGCTATTACGGGGGGGGCACGGTAAGACCTAGGACCAGGACCGATTTACTTTTTCATATTGATGTCCCCAGAGGCCTAAAAACCAGTTATTTATATATATATATAGGTACGTAAACGCGATAACTTGAGTAATTTTGTACGATTTTGATGAAATTTTGTTCAAAGAATAAGAATATCTTTATTGTCATGAAAGTACAGTCTTTAACAAATAGTAAAGCTAGAACAGAATAGATGACATTGTCAATGCAGTAAGTTATCATAATTAAGTAGTTACACCTAGCAATAAGTATCTAGAGAAAAAAATTAATAAAACCTCACAATAATCATTTTAAGAACATGAATTATCCCTTTACAAGTTGGTTTTCTAAAACTTATCATTTAAAAATGTGTCAACTGAATAATACATTTTTTAAATCAAAAAATCCTTTAACTTTTTTCTAAAGCTGTTTTCCTTTATTATTTCCTTCAACTCGCTGGGTAGTGTAGGCGCAAAATCAAATGTGTAAGCACAGAAAACATACTACTATTACCCAGAATGCTGACCACGTGTTAAACAGTGTTAAGTACTCGGAGAGAGCTTTGCCTGTCAATTCATGTTGGTGCATTGTATGCTGGTGGCGCTGCCTACGAATTGACAGGCAAAGCTTTCTCCGAGTACTTAACACTGTTTAACACGCGGTCAGCATTCTGGGTAGCATTTTGTAGTGTGTTTTCTGTGGTGTAAGGCAGGATAAACTTGAATGAGTCCGCGAACCAGCATGACCTGGCCATGGGAAAAGGGTTTACAGGGGGTTTAATGGGGTAAAAAATAGGTTTTTCTCATTTTTGACCCTCAAAAAACAAAATTTCCCAATTTCTCTCTAGACCTTTGTAAAGAAAATAATTTAGTACAGTAGACTCCCTCTAGTTTGGCCACCTCGGGACCGGACCACTGGCCGAACTACGAAACGGCCGGACTAACCGGATTTAGTGCATTTTACATAACCAAAATACAAATTATAGTATTGCGCAATCGTGATATGTTAAGTCAATAACCTTGGTTCAGTAAAAAAAACTGAAACGTTTAAAATCACGCTTACTCAATCAAAACAAAAATTACACAACACTGTACGTACAGAAATAAATCACGTAAAGAACAGAACAATAGAAAGTCTAGTACTGCAAGCTACCGTAGTCAGCATAGGCTACTACTAAATGTTGTTTCAAAACATAAGAATGTCAATAAAAACATTAGACAGTTCATAAAACAGAATAAAATTATAGTACTTAGTCTTAAAGATAATAAGGACAGTCGTAAAATATGATAAAGATAACAATGGATGACGAAAAACACCGCTTATTCTTTCTTCTTTGTTCTTCTATTCTTTCTTTGCCTCTTTGGTTTCTCTTCATCCACACATTCAACAAGTTGCCATAGTTACTAATCACCCAATCACAAACTGTTGCGAGATAGCAAGCAAGTGCACAGCAGAAATCAGTTTGTGTGAGCAGATGACTGTCAGTGCAAGCGTATAGCTTGACCTTGAAGCTAACGATGGCTATTTCTTTGTTTTGCTTTAATTTATTTTTGTCAAATAAACCGTGGTGTTTCAAAAACAATAATGGGGGAACCTACTGCATAAAAAAGTGGTCCGAAATATTTAATTATACACTGCATTTCAACATATTAGACCGAAGAAAAATTATTTATAAAAAATGTTCTTGGTATTTTTGAGGTTATGTAACATAGTTTTAAATAGGTAATATCTGTAATATGCAACAATTCACCCATTGAAGCACCCGTAAACTAAACTGACATGAATTGTTTACTTCTATGGCCGGAAACTAAACATTCAAGTTCAATCCTGTCGAAGGTCATTCACCCGTGACATATGACTTGTCCCCCTGAGACCGGGCCGGACCATCCGGCGGCCGATCCAACCGAAGCCGAACTAGAGGGAGTCTACTGTATATCGAAAAGTTTTTGTATGGTTATTGGTACGGTAACAGAGAAAATTTTAAAAATTTTAAATTTAAAATTCTTATGGTGAAAATTGTAAAATGTTGTGTAGTTTGCTTGTTTATGGATATATTTTGATCAAACTTTTCAAATTTGTTTATTTTATACTAAACTATTTATATTTTACTAAAAAAATACACTTTATTAGTATCCTTGTAGGAGCAAACCTATGTACTCGTTAAACCTAATGTCATTTAAATAGATTCAATTGAAAATAAATTCAAACAAATGGAAATTGCCGGAAATAGGCAGGTTTGCTGTGGGTGGGGTACTTTAAGTTTAGGTCAATCTAAAAACAACTCAAAACCCACCTAAGAATTAAACAAAATATATAATTTTAAATTACATCCTCGATTGTTTGTTGCCTTATGGATATAAGGGGTACTGTACTTGTAAGATATTTATTAGGCCTAACGTTAAATTTTTCTAGCACTCGTTCTTGGTTTGTTTCTAAACATCATACAGCCTTCAGTAAAGTTGCTGCGATAAACAGTTTACACTTTTTAAGCATTACCAACTCAATAATACATTTTCTTCATGTCTTTTCTTTTCAATGTTATGGCTTTTAGTTTGTCAAAAAAAAAAAAAACTCATTCCGAGATTGGTATTCTTTGGTATTCTAGATGTAGTAAGATAATTTATCGCTTTGTTTCAGCCATGTAATGTTCGAAACTGGGAAGTACAAATTCAATTTAAAGTACATGGAAGAGGTAAAGAACTGTTTGGAGATGGCATGGCATTTTGGTAAGTTGGACTTTTTATATTTTCAATTTCCATAGTAATTTACCTTGATCTAAACTAAACCTAGTATATTAACTCACTATACATTGACCTAGGAATAACTAATTTTGTCTAATGAAGAAATGACCATTAAAAGTAATCCTCATTGTACAGTAGACCCCCTCTTAACCGACCCTAATGGGACCGGACCTACGTCGGATAACTCAAAAGGTCGGTTAAAACGGGCATTCCCTAAAATCATAACATATTGAAATGCTATTCATTTGGAATTATATAATCAATATTTTGAAGTCATACTTGCATTAGTTATAAAATAAACTACTCTTATCTCCTTTTTAGTATTGATAGAAAAGTCACAAATGAACACAAAACACGGTTAAGTCTAATAGGCCTACTTTAAGTGGAATATATTATAATACTAGGCAACAGTCAATAAAATTCCTATCTTAATAACTTTAGTACTGTAATGTATTAATTGATGCTTTCTAAATCCATCGTAATACAGTACAGAACCTTTTGTCGAAATTAAAGATACAAGCAACCATTTTGTTACAAGGGATAGGGTGTTTATTTATAACCTCTCACTGTAGGCTGGCTCGAGGCACAAAAACTAGCTTGACCTTGGAGTTGTTAACCCCCCTTCCCTGCCCTCCCTACAAGTTGCGTTGTTTGTTTACTCCAGCGATAAGATAATCAGTTTTCAAAATCGTAACGCACTTTATGATGTTATAAATTTGCCACACAGATAACATATCAGATCAAATGTGCTCGAGCTACAATAACGAACGATGATGACAAACTGACAATAGGCCATGCTATATTTTTTGTGATCAACACAAAATAACTTATTCTTAGTCATATCCTGTGGAGATAAGCGTATTGTTCAGTTCTCATCGCCCAGCGTGGGAGCGGAAATGCCGAGATTCCTAGAAAGCGGCGGTTAAACCGAACTGCTCTCAAAGCAAGGTCGGTTAAAACAAACTGTATTATTTCACGATCGAAGGCGGATAATCCGATTATCGGTTAATACGAGGTCGGATAAGAGGGGGTCTACTGTATCTTCTTAACCCCTTCTCCTTCCTTCCGGGAGGGGAGATAGCATGTTTGGCAATAATTTAATATATCTCTATAACCAATAACGAATGATCCATTGGAAGTGTACGCTTTCAAAGCCTCATTATATGGTACCGGTACCTATAAAATTCAACTTGAACCTGAGCCCTGATAGTTAATTGTGTATAGTTAGAGCGCAAAGTACGTCATTGCCGCTCGAGAACTGAAGAAGAACACGGCTGTGTTTGTTGTGGAAACATTAAAAGTTATATCAGCTGAATTAGCGAGCGGGAATGGGCTTTTTTTCATACTGTTTACAGGAGTGGCAATTTAATTTTCATGCAGTGATAGGAAAAAGATATTTTAACCTGAACTATATTCTACATTATGTCCTACTATTCTACATTCTATTCCACAATTCTACAGGAGCAAAGGAAACTTTTAACAGCAATATTAGAAGGTGTTCAATAGTGAGAGAGACGGGGGTTTTTTCATACTTTTTACCATTGTTTTAAAATGTAAAAACTGTTTGAATGATTTGATTAGGTTTTTTTAAATTTAGGTATGCCAAAGACCGCATGAAACCTGGAGCAGTATTTGGGAACATGGATTTCTTCCAGGGCTTAGCTGTTATCATTGATACGTACAGCAATCACAACGGCGAACATAATGTAAGTGATCTATTGCCACACACATACAACCACATTAGACTAGTTGAATTTAATAGAAATAATCATAAATTTTAATCATGTAATTTTTGTAGTATTTAATATTTGAAAAATTGCCTTGAATTTATATTGAACTTCTTTTGTCAATAGCATGTCCACCCTTACATATCAGCTATGGTTAACAATGGAACATTGCACTACGACCACGATCGAGATGGAACCCACACTCAGTTGGCTGGCTGCTCAGCGAAACTGCGCAACTTGGACCATGACACCCATGTATCTATACGATATGACCATGACATTCTCACTGGTAAAGTATAACTTAATGTGTTTGTTATATATTTAAATTATACCTGGCTTATAATTTAATATTAACAATTATCTGAAACATCTGTCAAATGTTTATGTTTACATTTTTCTATCATAATAAATATACAGTTTTGTTCTAACATTTTACAATGACTTTTATTACTGAAATATGTTTTAGTGGCGACGAGGACGGGATTTTTAATGACTCATACACTTTTCTACAGGATAAACATTGAAATTAACATACTATCATGACTGAAGACCTTTCAACAATTTTATCAACGTTTGTTCAACAACAGGCTATGCTATGCTACAACAACATACTTTTCTATCACATGTTCAAAGTCCCACAGAGTCCATATCTGAGTTTGTAGCTGCACTAAGAAGACTTACATTCACATGCAATTTCAACTGCCCTTCTTGTGAATCTTCAGTGGTCGATTTGTTTTTACGTGCACAATTCATTCGAGGATTACGAGATGAAACAATCAGTGAAAAGATTCTTCAGCATCCAGAATTGACTTTTGAAGGTGCGTATGAACAGGCTCTGACTCTTGAAGCATCAAAAAAAGGTTGCAAAACATTTCATGGAACTGATTCAATAAATAAAGTTTCTAGAGTTTTTCGTACAAAAAACTATGATTGTGATAACTCATCAGCAAAACAAAGTCAAAACAATCCAAAGAACTTGTATGAGCGCCTAGGAATTGCAGGACTATGTGTGCGTTGTGGTGAGAGTAACCACTTGGCAAAATCTTGCGACAGGGACATTGACACCTTATTTTGTAGTTTATGCCATAAGCCTGGACATATCTCTAAAGTTTGCATATCAACCTTAACAAGATCAAATCATCGCAAGGTAAATACCATAATTCAAGAAGACATAGAACATGATGAGTTTTCTATTGGAAGAATTGTTCCTGTCCGTATTGCGCCCACTACTTCACCAACGGAAAAATTCACGACAACACTGAACATTGAAAATGGTAAGCTTACCTTTGAAATCGACACTGGGAGTCCAGTAACTATAATCAATAACAAAGACCTTCAAAAAGTTTGCCCCAACAGAACTCTTCAGCCAACATCGACTACACTTAAAACAGTTACCGGTGAAATCTTTAAACCTCTGGGTGTCGCCAAAGTTGAGGTATGGTACAACAACAAATCTACGAACCTGAACTTTTTTGTTGTGGATAACATTATTAATCCATTACTAGGTCGAGATTGGTTGCAACAACTGAAAATTCCCTTAGATTCTCAACTATCCACTTCCACCCTAGCTCCGCCACCCTTTAAGCCTGAATTAATATGTAAACGCTAGAGCCAAGTTTTGTAGAATGTGGACTGCAGTTAGCTATGAATACTTACCTCCGCCCAGTGTGTACTTAACTCCTTCCGCCCCGACAGTGAGCTACAAGTATTCCATTCCAGCTCCAACAGCAGTATCCAACTGTTACAAATCGACCATGTCAATTCTACGACCCCTAGTTGATTTCCCTCCTGTTCAGTTTTTAACTCCCGCTCCTGTTAATTTTGAATACTCTAATCCAGTTCCAGACAAAACCTTCTACTATTCAACGACTCCAGTAAGCTATTAAGCTATACACCTGCTCCAGAAAAAAATGAAAAAAAAACCAACTAAAGCCAATTGCCTACACCACACAAGTATCAGTTATGAGTTTTCCACACTAAGACTTCAACCTGTTGTTCTCTTTTTAGAGTGGGAAGACTGTAATATATTTCAATTATACCTGGCTTATAATTTAATATTAACAATTATCTGAAACATCTCTCAAATGTTTATGTTTACATTTTTCTATCATAATAAATATACAGTTTTGTTCTAACATTTTACAATGACTTTTATTACTGAAATATGTTTTAGTGTTACACAAGTTTTTAATTATTAAGTTTCTTTACTTCAAAGTCATATAAAATAATTTCTGGTCAGCAACAAATTTTTGCCCAGAGCTAGGCTAGAACTAATATAGTTTTTTAAAGCATGCCTTACAACCCTTGGCTAATAACAAAACTTTCTTAGGGTGAAAGCTCTCTTAGTACGAAGATATATTTTTCAATATATTTTTTTTTCTTTCTGGAATTTATCTAACTAATAAAATACAGTAAAATTTTGAACTCCGTTGTAAGCCCGACTTAAAATACTGCCGTGGCTCACAAATCTCAGTTGATTCTTCGCCTCGTGTACCAGTCACTTCCACCCTTCTCTGTCTTCTGCCAAGTTGACATTTGCACCCATTGTCCTGATGTCGTTAATTACTTGGTCAATCCATCTCAATTCCATCGGGTGTGGCTGTCCAAACTTCATACAGTCTTGTTCCTTCCTCTCTTCTTAGCCCATGCCCTATCCAACTTAAACTTCTTCCTTTAACCATTGTAGTCCATTAATTTTAGGGATTCAAATGCCATTCGACCTAACAAATTCAAACTACCTAGAAATTTTGCACAGCTGTTAAGTAAGCCATGTTCTTGAAAATGTCAAAAGTCCCCGGAAATCCCTGCTGTGCTTCAGCCGCCATCTTGGGAAATGGCGGCCAATTTTCACTTTTTTGACAATATTTCCCAAACTATTGGTATTAGAGAATTTTTGTAAATACAAAAGTTAAAGAACACCTAAAAATACACATTTTTTATATTACAAGGTTTGCTCTATCTCTAACGGCTATTGTGATAAATAATAAAAATAGTTTTAAATTTAAAATTTTCATGTTTTTCTTATGAAGGAAAAGAAAATTGTTGCAGTTTGCTTATTTATGGATATATTTTTATCAAACTTGGCAAACTTATTTATTTTATATTAAGCTAATGATATTTAACATAATTACACACTTTATAACCCTTCCAATAGCAGTAAACGTAGTACTTGTTAAATTTAAAGTTATTTAAATAGGGATTCTATCTTTCATTTTTAAGAAATATTTTAGTAAAAATCCAGGCAGGCAAATGGAAATTCATTTTTAGACACGATTGTTAATTTTTCCTTATTAGTATTAAAGAGAAATGGAAAATGGCGGCCGATTTTTTTTAATGAATCCTTAATTGTCAACATTATCAAAAATTACCAAGAGCTAAATAATATTCGCTACTGAAAACTGAACAATTGATCTATTTACATTTTATTTACTTGACAAACAGTAAGAAAAATAAACATTTTTCAAATACATTTTACATACATTTAAATACATTTTATTTACTTGACAAACAGTAAGAAAAATAAACATTTTTTGATTAAATGTTATGTGCCTCCTCATAACTTATTCTTGTTCAATTTCAACTGGCGAGTTGTTGCAGACAGCATTGGCCACACATTGCTGAGCACAGCAAACCAGCCCGTACACACTTGCATCTTTTATTGCAACCTTGCTTACAATTGCATGAAATGAGGTGTAGAAGTTCTGATGGAGCTGCTTCTTTGATCGTGGGGACAGGTCTGAGTGATTCTGATATGAATCTGTGGTAACAGTACTTATGATAACGACATTTTTCTACCACAAGATCAATTGTATTTGCTACTCGTAAGTCAACTTCATTTCCCCACTCATCAGAGCGTTGTTTACAAACTGATATAACGGTACTTGAGTATTAAACGGAGGCCACCATTACAAAACGCGTGTGGCACTTATAGAGGGTTAAATTGTTATAGATGTTGTAGTAGAACTATTCTAGTATTGTTGTGAGTCGAGCGTTATCAGATGAGTCATGTGTCTACTCGCAGAATCCCCTCCAAGTAGGCCAAGGTCAGGGTCGTTGACCGGAGCGCGCGTCATTACCTGTCATCGCCCGTCACTGTGTCTGGTCAGCTATATCAGTTATAAAATTAAACTATCATAACCTAACCAACCAAACTTGCTGATAGTGAAAACATTGAATGAAGGTTTACTAATAATCAGTATTATCATAGCTAAGTTAAGAAACTGTAGGTTAGGTGGCCTCCATTTAATACTCAAGTACCGATATAACTTTAGCACGAAATTCAACTGTAGCCACATTACACACGTCCAGACGTCTATTTTTAGGGAATTTTGAATCAGGGACACTAGTAGACTAGGCCCGTTTTCAAAAAAAGGCAATGCAAGAAGCATTTCATGTAACAATTGGGGAAACAACGTTTTTAGGGTATTTCGACCCTGCTGAGTACGAATCTGCCTGTTGCCAACGCGAAATTTGAACCGGAAGTGCGGTATCCAAGATGGCGGCCAAAACTCTGTTTGCCCCATATCTTCCTTGTTAGTTGGCCTAAAATAATGGTTTAAACGTGTATATAGGGGGTTTTCAGATGCCAAGCACATTAAAACACTCAAAATTAACTTAAATTAAGTTTTGAGGGCATATCTTCCAAAATTGTGCCCAAGATGGTCGCTAAAAACTCTAATTTACGCATATCTCCCTTGTTTTTTGGCTTAAAATAATTATTTAGACGTCTGCATAGGGGTTTTCTCGGATGCCAAACACATTGCAACACCCAAAATTTACTTACATTAAGTTATGGGGGCATATATTCCAAGATGGCAGCCGAGATGGCCGCCAAAAACTCTTATTTCCATATATATATATTAGGGTGGGCTGAAAAAAAAAATTATTTTTTTTTCTTAATGCTATACCGAAAAAAACTTGTCTCTATGATGGGTTATCAAAATGCAACAAAGAAAAAAAATCTATACCTAACCTCTAGCTAGCGCATTACACTTGAAATTTCAAAATTTCACTCAAATTATAAGCTTTTGTAAATATAATTAAAGCATCTAAATACCTGCATATTGGACTGCTATAGTGATATTACGTTAGAACAGAGCCTTGGAAATACAATAAGTAATTGCAGAAGTTTAATTGTATTAATCTGAGGTAGCGCAATAGTCATTACAATGACGCATTTTTGAGTCAAGTGCGGGATGACAGCTGCGAGTTCGGGCGATGACCCGGCGGCCTTGCCGGGCTCCCCCACCCATACTCTCCACACACCCACAATGCACTTCGCGGGGAGAC